GGAGACACGGGGAGACACGGGGAGACACGGAGAGACACGGGGAGACACGGGGAGACACGGGGAGAGACAGGAGCATGGGGAGACACGGGGAGACACGGGGAGACACGGGGAGACACGGGGAGAGACACGGGGAGACACGGGAGACACGGGGAGAGACGGGGAGACACGGGGAGAGACAGGGGCATGGGGAGACACGGGGAGACACGGGGAGACACGGGGGAGACACGGGAGACACGGGGAGAGACAGGGGCATGGGGAGACACGGGGAGACACCGGGAGACACCGGGAGACACGGGGAGACACGGGGAGACACGGGGAGACACGGAGAGACACGGGGAGAGACAGGAGCATGGGGAGACACGGGGAGAACACGGGAGACACGGGGAGAGACGGGGAGACACGGGGAGACACGGGGAGACACGGGGAGACACGGGGAGAGACAGGAGCATGGGGAGACACGGGGAGACACGGGGAGACACGGGGAGACACGGGGAGACACGGGGAGAGACAGGAGCATGGGGAGACACGGGGAGACACGGGGAGACACGGGGAGACACGGGGAGACACGGGGAGAGATGGGGAGACACGGGAGACACAGAGAGACACAGAGAGACACGGGGAGACACGGGAGACACGGGGAGACACAGAGAGACACGGGAGACACGGGGAGACACGGGGAGACAGAGAGACACAGAGAGACACGGGGAGACACGGGGAGACACGGGGAGACACAGAGAGACACAGAGAGACACGGGGAGACACGGTGAGACACGGGGAGACACGGGGAGACACAGAGAGACACGGGGATTCACCGGAGACACGGGGAGACACGGGGAGACACGGGGAGAGATGGTTAGACACGGGGAGAGACAGAGGCATGGGGAGAGACGGGGAGACACGGGGAGACACGGGGAGACACAGAGAGACACGGGGATTCACCGGGAGACACGGGGAGACACGGGGAGACACGGGGAGAGATGGGGAACACGGGAGAGACAGAGGCATGGGGAGAGACGGGGAGACACGGGGAGACAACGGGGAGACACGGGGAGACACGGGGAGACACGGGGAGAGATGGGGAGACACGGGGAGAGACAGAGGCATGGGGAGAGACGGGGAGACACTGGGAAGACACGGGGAGACAACGGGGAGACACGGGGAGACACAGAGAGACACGGGGAGACACGGGGAGACACGGGGAGACACGGGGAGACACGGGGAGACACAGAGAGACACGGGGAGACACGGGGAGACACGGGGAGACACAGAGAGACACAGAGAGACACGGGGAGACACGGGGAGACACGGGGAGACACAGAGAGACACGGGGAGACACAGAGAGACCACGGGGAGACACGGGGAGACACGGGGAGACACAGAGAGACACGGGGAGACACGGGGAGACACGGGAGACACAGAGAGACACGGGGAGACACGGGGAGACACGGGGAGACACAGAGAGACACAGAGAGACACGGGGAGACACGGGGAGACAGGGGGAGACACAGAGAGACACGGGGATTCACCGGGAGACACCGGGAGACACGGGGAGACACGGGGAGACACGGGAAGACACGGGGAGACACGGGGAGAGATGGGGAGACACGGGGAGAGACAGAGGCATGGGGAGAGACGGGGAGAGATGGGGAGACACGGGGAGACACAGAGGCATGGGGAGAGACGAGGAGAGCCGGGAGACACGGGGACATGCGTGAGACACGCGGCGTGGACGTGAGGATACAAGGACAAGAGAGCACGCAGGGCTGGTGCGTCTGTACCGCGCGTGCATGTATGTGCGTACGTGTTTGTACATGCGTGTATGTGTGTGTACGTGCGTGCGTGTACGTGCGTGCACGTGCGTGCACGTGCGTGTACGTGAGTGTACGTGCGTGCGTACGTGTGTATGTGCGTGCGTGTGTGTGTGTACGTGCATGTGTACGTGTGTACGTGTGTGTGTGTGTACGTGTGTACGTATGTGTACGTGTGTGTGTGTGTGCGTGTGTACGTGTGTAAGTGTGTGTGTGTGTGTACGTGCGTGTACGTGTGTGTGTGTGTGCGTGTGTACGTGTGTGTGTAAGTGTGTGTGTGTGTACGTGTGTAAGTGTGTGTGTGTGTACGTGCGTGTACGTGTGTGTGTAAGTGTGTGTGTAAGTGTGTACGTGTGTGTGTAAGTGTGTGTGTGTGTACGTGTGTAAGTGTGTGTGTGTACGTGTGTAAGTGTGTGTGTGTGTGTACGTGTGTAAGTGTGTGTGTGTGTGTACGTGTGTAAGTGTGTGTGCGTGCGTGCCTGTGCACTGGGAGGGGGGCTGCCCCTCTTCGCCGCCCTCCCCAGCGGGGTGCCGGGCGGCGCCTCGAACAGCCGCCCCAGCGCCTCCAGGCCCTGCAGCAGCGAGTTCAGCTCACTGCACACACACACACATCACACACACATCACACACACACATCACACACACACAGACACACACACACACAGACACACAAATATAAAGATCCCCCGTATAGCCTTAACAGACTGTAGGGGCAAGTGCTGTTAGCGAGCACCTATGAAGGTCGGCTTGGCACACGAGGGGGTGGGTGGCCAGCACCACGCCCGACCGCCTTTGTCTCCCCAGTGGCGATGTTTAAACATCGCACCAGGTATTCATTTGAGGCCGAGTCGACCTAGGGGATGCCAAGGACCGGTTCGGATAATCGCCACTGGTGTTTGTGGCCGTGAGCGGGAATCGAACTCGCGTCGCCGGGTTCGTAGCACAGCGTAGCGCTAACGCACACACACACAATCATACACAACCACACACACAATCACACACACACACAACCACACACACGCACAACCACACACACGCACAACCACACACACGAACAACCACACACACACAACCACACACACGAACAACCACACACACGCACAACCACACACACGCACAACCACACACAACCACACACACAAACAATCACACACACACACAACCACACACACGCACAACCATACACAACCACACACACGCACAACCACACACACACAACCATACACAACCACACACACACACAACCACACACACACGCACACACAACCACACATACACACACAACTACCCACACACACACAACGCACACACAACCACACATACACACACAACTACCCACACACACACACAACCACACACACACACACAACCACACACACGCACACACAACCACACACAACCATACGCACAAACAACCACACACGCACACACAAGCATACACACACAACCACACACACAACCACACACACAACCACACACACACAGCCACACACGCACACACACAACCACATACATGGGATCCACACCGTGTAGACACCACCACCACAGCCACGACCACCACCGCCACCACCACCACCATCACCACCACCATCACCACCACCACAGCCACGACCACCACCACCACCGCCATCACCACTGTGCCATCTCTGCCTAGCATCACCACCACCACCATCACCACCATGCCATCTCTGCGTAGCGTCACCAACGTCACCACCGCCACCACCATCACCGCCACCACCACCACCGCCACCACCACCATCACCACCACCATCACCGCCATCACCGCCACCACCACCGCCACCACCGCCACCACCGCCACCACCACCATCACCACCACCACCACCGCCACCACCGCCACCACCTACAACAACGGAGTGATGCCGTTGTTGTTTATCTCTCTGTGTCTATGTGTCTCTGTGTGTCTCTGTGTGTCTGAATGTATCTCTACGTATCTCTATGTGTCTCTATGTATCTCTCTGTGTCTATGTGTCTCTCTGTGTCTCTGTGTGTCTGAATGTATCTCTATGTGTCTCTATGTGTCTCTGTGTGTCTCTGTGTGTCTCTGTGTGTCTCTATGTGTCTCTGTGTGTCTCTGTGTGTCTCTGTCTCTGTGTCTCTGTGTCTCTATGTATCTCTAAGTGTCTCTGTGTATCTCCATGTGTATGGATGTATCTCTATGTGTATGAATGTATCTCTACGTTTCTTTATGTCACGTTGAGTACTGAGTGGTGAGTGTTGAGTGGTGAGTGTTTAGTGGTGAGAGTTGAGTGGTGAGTGTTTAGTGGTGAGTGTTGAGTGGTGAGTGTTTAGTGGTGAGTGTTGAGTGGTGAGTGTTTAGTGGTGAGTTCAGCTGTGAGTGCTGAGCGGTGAGTGTTTAGTGGTGAGTATTGAGTGGTGAGTGTTTAGTGGTCAGTTGAGCGGTGAGTGTTGAGTGGTGAGCAGTGTGTGGTGAGTTGAGCGGTACGTGTTGAGTGGTGAGTTGAGTGGTGAGTGTTGAGTGGTGAGTCTTGCGGAGTGAGTGATGAGTGTTGAGTGGTGAGTCTTGCGGAGTGAGTGTTGAGTGGTGAGTGTTGAGTGGTGAGTGTTGAGTGGTGAGTGTTGCGGAGTGAGTGTTGAGTGGTGAGTGTTGTGGAGTGAGTGTTGAGTGATGAGTGGTGAGTGCTGAGCAATGGGAATTGAGTGACCGCAATAGGAATGCGTGTGTGTGCGCGCGTGTGCGTGTGTGCGTGCACGCGTGTGTGTGCGCGCGTGTGCGTGCGGATGTGTGTGCGCGTGTGCGTGTGTGCGTGTGTGCGTGTGTCGGGGAGCGGTGGTGAAGCGGTTAGCATGCTGCGCTACGAACCCGGCCACCCGAGTTTAATTCCCGCTCATGCTCCACAGCAGCGATCATCCACTGTGCAACACAATTTGTGTTCCTGGGTAGTAAGTGTTATTTCTAAATTGCTTATGCCTCAAAAGTGCATAAAACGGCGATCATTCCACACAAACGTTGCTTTTGTGACCGGGAGTTTACGTGAAGCAATGACACAAATGCTCACCACGTGTTCTCTCACTGCCATATGTTCATTTCAAAATATCACCGTCCTGGTCACAAAAGCAAAGTTTGTGGGGAATAATAATAATCGCCGTTTTCTGTGCTTTTGAGGCATAAGCAATTAGGAAATAACACTTACTACCCAGGGACAAAAAGTGTTTTTGTTCTATAGTTAATTATATTATCTGAACCGGTCATGGGCGCTGCCCTAGGTCGACTCAGCCTCAAACGAGTATCTGGATGCGGTGCGCAGTAAACATCGCCACTGGGGAGACAAAGGCGGCCGGGCGTGGTGCTGGCCACCCACCCCCTCGTGTGCCACAGTGCTGGCCCTCATAGGTGCTCGCTAACAGCACTTGCCCCGCAGTCTGTTTGAGGCTACACGGTCGGGACCTTTGTCTTTGTGGGGGAGGGTGTCACACAGGAAGTCGCGTGCTGATCCTGCAGCAGCAGCAGCTGCTGCTGCTACTGCCGGACAGAGTGCAGCTGTGTGCTGTGAACAACATCCCAGCCACGACGCACACACACACACACGCCCCACTGTGTGTGTGCGCGTGCGCCTTTGCCTGTGCGTCTGTCTGTCTGTCTGGGTGGCGTAGCCCCGCATGCCCAGCCACCGCATGCCCAAGGAGCTTCTGTTTCGCTCGGATAGATGGGGGCTAAACGGGCGCGGCACGGGCTAGAGAAGAGATGGAGTGATGTGGTACAGGAGGACGTGCAGCTGAGTTGACTTGCCGATGACTGGTACCAGCGGTGTCAAGATCGGCCTCTGTGGAGGAGGCTCGTGAAGGACGCTGCTACTGGGCAGTTGGAGGCAGTCGCCCTCCAACAACAACTGAGGGCGGAGGAGCGACGCTCACAACAACGAGCGGAGCGCCGGGTGGATTAAATACACTGAGGTGGTGCATCTGCCGCCCATCTCAGTCAGTCGACCCGTGGCACCACATGGGTCTGTCCGTGACCTCCTGCCAGCGGGCGTTCGACACTTCACGTGGCCTCAGAGTGCACCTGGCCTGGCACAAGCGCCGTGGTGACGTCACCGGCACTTGGTGGTGAAACGCGGCCGTCGATGTTGGGTCTGTCCGTCTCATTTGCTGGCTGATGCGTCTGACCGTGTAAACCAAGCGATGGTTCATGACACCGGCTAAGATCCACTCAGACAAGGCCGTAGCCATCCAGTCAACATTGGGGGGGACCAAATCAACCCAGAAAAAAATCTACATTTGAAAACGGATTTCCTGCCATTTCCTGCCTAAAATATTTTTAAAAATTCCCTAACATATGGGATGGACTTTTGATTTATTTTTTACAATAATGTCTATTAGTGTGTTGTATTAAAGTGCTCCGTAACCACAATCATATAAACAAAAATATATGCATTGATTTATATGAAGACAAGTCCAGATATTGTGGCCAAGGTTTAGCAAATTGTTGTTTTTATTTACATAGCATAGCAATTATTATTACTTATTTTATATTTTTATAGCAATATATTGGGGGGGGGGGACATTTTGAGTATATTTGAATATTGGGTGGGGATGTCCCCCCCCCCAATATCTATTCTAATTACGACCTTGCACTCAGCTCTGTAGTTATTTCTTGTAGGAGCAGCCTGGCCACAAATGATGGCTCAACAAAGTGGATCATCGTCGTGTGTAAATTTACAGCGGCAGGCAAATGCCTCTAAACGCGTGGCGGTGGTGGCGGTGGTGGTGGTGGTGGTGGTGGTGGCGGTGGTGGTGACAGTGGTGGTGGATGCGGTGGTGGTGGTGGCGGTGGTGGTGGCAGTGGTGGTGGTGGTGGCCGGTGGCGGTGGTGGCGGTGGTGGTGGCGGTGGCGGTGGATGTGAAAGTGGAGGGTGAAACCGGAGGACCCGGAGAAAAATCCACGCGACCACGGGGAGAGAGAGAGAGAGCATGCAGACTACAGCGCTACAGGCGTCAGGGACGGGATCGAACCCACGATCTCCTGTATACCACGCGAGGGAGATAACATCTCCTAGCCACCGTGGCGACCGTGTCTGTCATCATGCGTGTGTGTGTGTGTCATCATGCGTGCGTGTGTGTGTCATCATGCGTGTGTGTGTCATCATCATGCGTGTGTGGTGTGTGTGTGTCATCATGCGTGTGTGTGTCATCATCATGCGTGTGTGTGTGTGTGTCATCATGCGTGTGTGTGTCATCATCATGCGTGTGTGTGTGTCATCATGCGTGTGTGTGTCATCATGCGTGTGTGTGTGTCATCATGCGTGTGTGTCATCATGCGTGTGTGCGTGTGTCTGTCATCATGCATGCGTGTGTGTGTGTCATCATCCGTGCGTGTGTGTGTGTGTTTGTCATCATGCGTGCGTGTGTGTGTCATCATCCGTGCGTGCGTGTGTGTGTCTGTCCTCATGCGTGTGTGTGTCTGTCATCATGCGTGTGTGTGTGTCTGTCATCATGCGTTTGTGTGTGTCATCATGTGTGTGTGTGTCTGTCATCATGTGTGTGTGTCTGTCATCATGCGTGTGTGTGTGTCTGTCATAGGTGCTTGCTAACAGCACTAGCCCCAACAGTCTGTTAGGGCTACACGGGGAATCTTTGTCTTTGTGTGTTGCCGCGTGTGTGCGTGTGTGTGTGTGTGCGTCTGTCACCGTGCGTGCGTGTGTGCGTCTGTCACCGTGTGTGTGTGCGTGCGTCTGTCACCGTGCGTGCGTCTGAATAAATCTCATCCATCAGCTCAGTGGGGGGCCGGGGGGGGGGCATCTCTTAACCCCACGGTCAAAACTTTCGCTGAGTAATTTATTTCTCTACGGCGGAACGCGGGGAGGCGAAAACTCACGTGTGGCGGAGGTCTCTCTCACCGTGAACCATCCCCACCGATACAATTAGCCCACCGCCACCACCGGCACCACCACAATCGCCACCGCAACCACCGGCACCACCACAGCCACCACAACCACCACCACCCACCACAACCACCACCACGACGCTACGACAGGGCATCGCACGGCCCAGCGAGTGTACGCCACAGTGGCTAGGAGATGTTGACTACCTCGCCTGGTGTGCAGGAGGTCGTGGGTTCCATCCCGACCCTGCTGCTGCTGCTGATGCCATCACTGCTGCTGCTGCTGCAGCCACTGCTGATGTCATCACTGCTACTGCTGCTGCTACTGCTGATGCCATCACTGCTACTGCTGATGCTACTGCTGATGCCATCACTGCCGCTGCTGCTGCTACTGCTGATGCCATCACTGCTACTGCTGCCGCTGCTGATGCCATCACTGCTACTGCTGCCGCTGCTGATGCCATCACTGCTGCTGCTGATGCCATCACTGCTACCCGCTGCTGCTGCTACTGCTGATGCCATCACTGCTGCTGCTGCTGCTACTGCTGATGCCATCACTGCTACTGCTGTTGATGCTACTGCTGCTGCAGCCGCTGCTGCCATCACTGCTGCTGCTGATGCCATCACTGCTACTGCTACTGATGCTACTGCTGCCATCACTGCTGCTGCTGATGACATCACTGCTGCTGCTGCTGCTGCTACTGCTGATGCGGTCCATCCATCTGGCTGTCATCTGCTGTGCTCCACGCAACTGTGAACGTTCAATGCATGTCGATAAAGACAAAGATCCCCCAGATAGTCTCGGGCAGACTGTTGGGGCAAGTGCTGTTAGAGAACATCAGTGACGAAGGCCGGCAGGGCACACGAGGGGGTGGGTGACCAGCACCACGACCCGGCCGCCTTTGTCTCCCCAGTGGCGATGTTTACTACACACCGCACCAGATACTCATTGAAGGCTGAGTCGACCTAGGGCAGGCCTAATACTGGTTCAGATAATCGTCACTGCTGTTGACCCACTCACCCACTCACCCACCCACACACTCACCCACACACTCACACGCTCACCCACACACCCACCCACCCACTCACCCACCCACCAACCCGCACACTCACCCCGCACACTCACCCGCACACTCACCCACTAACCCACACACCCACTCACCCACTCACCATCACCCCCCCCCCCCACCCGCCCACCCACCCACCTGTGCAGGCGTCTGGAGGCGTTGAGGAAGAGCGCAGTGAGGTGGGGGAGGCCCCCCCCTGGCCCCCCCGCTGGGCCCCGCGCCACCTCCGTGTCCCCCGGCACGCCCTGGCACAGGTAGTCACCCACCAGTGCCGCCAGCTCGCTACCCACGCTGCAACAACAACAACCATCAACAACCATCAACAACAACAACCACCACAACCACAACAACCACCACACCCTGGCACAGGTAGTCACCCACCAGCCCCGCCAGCTCGCTACCCACGCTGCAACAACCACAACAACCATCAACAACCATCAACAACAACCACAACAACCACAACAACCACAACAACCATCAACAACAACCACAACAACCATCACCACAACCATCACGCCCTGGCACAGGTAGTCACCCACCAGCGCCGCCAGGTCACTACCCACGCTGCAACAACCACCACCACAACACCACAACCATCAACACCACCACCACAACCACACAACCACAACTATCACAACCACCACAACCATCACCCACCACCACAACCATCAACACCACAACCACAACCACCATCACCACCACCACCATCAACACCACCACCACAATCATCAACACCACCACACAACCACCACAACCATCACCACCACAACCATGAACACCACCACCACCACAATAACCGCAACCATCAACCCCACCACACCACACAACCACAACCACCACAATCATCGCCCACCATCACCACCACAACAACCATCAACACCACAACCTCCACCACCACCACCCAATGTCCCCCATGTGCCCTCCCCTCCCCCCGTGCCCCCACCTGGCGGCCCCGGCCTCCTGCCATCGCTGCTGCAGCAGCAGCAGGGAGGAAGCCCCCCCACAGCGAGACGCCTCCGCAGTGGGGGGCCCAGTGGGGGGCCCAGTGGGGGGCCCCGCGGGGGGCCCAGTGGGGGGCCCTGCCGGAAACACGGCCCTGGGGGGCAGGGGGGGCCGCTCCTCCTCCACGTCTACACACACAGACACACAGACACACAGGTACACACACACACACAGACACACACACACACACAGACACACACACAGACACACACACAGACACACACACACAAAGACACACACACACAGACACACACACAGATACACACACAGACACACACACAGACACACATAGACACACACACACACAAAGACACACACACACGTGTTTGCATTATAATCTTCACCATCATCACATACATCACCATCTCACTCTCGTCCCCCCCCCGTGCCCCCCCCGCCCCCCCCCCGCCCCCCGTGCCCCCCCCCGCCCCCCCCCCGCCCCCCCGTGCCCCCCCCCCGCCCCCCCCCCGCCGCCCCCCCGTGCCCCCCCCGTGCCCCCCCCCGTGCCCCCCCCCGCGCCCCCCCCGTGCCCCCCCCCCACCCCCCCCCGCGCCCCTCCCGCGCCCCCCCCGCGCCCCCCCCGCGCCCCCCCCGCGCCCCCCCCCGCGCCCCCCCCGCGCCCCCCCCCACCTGAGTATTCTCGCTCCTCGGGGCTCTCGGCGGGCCCCTCGCGCTCCACGGGGTAGAGCAGCGGGCACACGAGGCCCTGGCTGGGCTGCTGGTAGGTGGTCACCAGCTCCGTGAGGCTCGCAAAGCGGATCGTCTGCACGCCCTGCGACGTCTACGACATCGACGGCATCCACCACAGCATCAACATCAACTACAGCAACATCAACAACAGCATCAACAACTACAACAACAACTACAACAACATAAACAACATCAACATCAACTACAACATCATCCACCACAGCTTCAACATCAACTACAGCAACATCAACATCAACTACATCAACATCAACTACATCAACTACAACATCATCCACCACAGCATCAACATCAACTACAGCAACATCAACATCAACAACATCACTACATCAACATCAACTACATCAACTACAACATCATCCACCACAGCATCAACATCAACTACAGCAACATCACATCAACAACAACATCAACATCAACTACAGCAACATCAACATCAACAACATCAACTACATCAACATCAACTACATCAACTACAACATCATCCACCACAGCATCAACATCACTACAGCAACATTAACAACAACTACAACAACATCAACAACAGCAACAACAACATCATCAACATCAACTACATCATCCACCACAGCATCAACATCAACTACAGCAACAGCATCAACAGCATCAACAACATCAACAACAACATTAACAACTACAACATCATCAACAACAAAATCAACTACAGCATCATTAACAACAACATCATCAACATCATCAACAACATCAACTACAACATCATCATCAACATCAACTAAAGCAACATCATCAACAACAACATCAACAACAACATCATCAACAGTGGGGGGTTGAGGTGTGTAGCTGTCTTTAGGGTCAGGGGGTGAGTGGGGGCGATTTGGGGGGGATGAGTGTGGGGGGGGGGTGAGTGAGTGGGGGGTGAGTGAGTGGGGGTGAGTGAGTGGGGGGTGAATGAGTGGATGGGGTGAGTGAGTGGGGGTGAGTGAGTGAGTGAGTGGGGGGTGAGTGGGGGTGAGTGAGTGAGTGGGGGTGAGTGAGTGAGTGGGGGTGAGTGAGTGAGTGAGTGGGGGGTGAGTGAGTGGGGGGTGAGTGAGTGAGTGAGTGGATGGGGTGAGTAAGTGAGTGAGTGGGGGGTGAGTGAGTGAGTGGGGGGTGAGTGAGTGGGGGTAAGTGAGTGAGTGAGTGAGTGAGTGGGGGTGAGTGAGTGAGTGAGTGGGGGGTGAGTGAGTGGGGGGTGAGAGGGGGGGTGAGTGAGTGGGGGGTGAGTGGATGGAGTGAGTGGGGGTGAGTGAGTGGGGTGAGTGAGTGGGGGGGTGAGTGAGTGGGGGGCTGAGTGAGTGGGGGGTGAGTGAGTGGATGGGGTGAGTGAGTGGGGGGTGAGTGAGTGAGTGAGTGGGGGTGAGTGAGTGAGTGAGTGGGGGTGAGTGAGTGGGGGTGAGTGAGTGAGTGGGGGTGAGTGGGGAGTGAGTGGATGAGTGAGTGGATGGGGTGAGTAGGTGGTGAGGGGGGGGTGAGTGAGTGGGGGGGGTGAGTGGGTGGGGGGGGGGTGAGTGAGTGGGGGGTGAGTGGGGGGGGGGCACACAGGAAGTGGAGTGTGACGCTCTCTTCCTGGAATGCGAGGACAATGCGAGGAAAACCCAGAGATCATCTCACTCACCAACACTCACCAACACTCACCATCACTCACCAACACTCACCAACACACACCAATACTACTCACCACTACTACTCACTTACCAACACTCACCAACACTCACCAATACTACTCACCATTACTACTCACTCACCAACACTCACCAACACTTACTCACCAACACTCACCATCACTCACCACTACTACTCACCATCACTCACCAATACTCACCAACACTCACTCACCATCACTCACCAACACTCACCATCACTCACCACTACTACTCACCAACACTCACCAACACTCACCAACACTCACTCACCATCACTCACCATCACTCACCAACACTCACCACTACTCACCAACAACACTCACCAACACTCACTCACCAACACTCACCATCACTCACCATCACTCACTCACCAATACTCACCACTACTCACCAACACTCACCACTACTCACCAATACTCACCAACACTCACTCACCACTACTACTCACCACTACTCACCAATACTCACTCACTCACCAACACTCACCACTACTCACCCACCCACCAACACTCACTCACCAACACTCACTCACTCACCAACACTCACTCATTCACTCACCAACACTCACTCACCACTACTCACTCACCCACCAACACTCACTCACCAACACTCACTCATTCACTCACCAACACTCACCAATACACACTCACCAACACTCACCACTACTCACTCACCAACACTCACTCACCATCACTCACTCATCACTACTCACCAACACTTACCAATACTCACTCACCAATACTCACTCACCAACACATACTCACATACTCACTAATACACTCACATACACACTCACATCCTCATTAACATACACTCACTAATACACACACTCACACCCTGACTAATAGAAACTCACACCACACTCACATCATCACGAATACACAATCACACTCACAAAGATCCCCCGTGTAACCTTAACAGACTGTAGGGGCAAGTGCTGTTAGCGAGCACTTATGAAGGCCGGCACGGCACACGAGGGGGTGGGTGGCCAGCACCACGCCCGGCCGCCTTTGTCTCCCCAGTGGCGATGTTTACTACAGGTACTCTTTTGAGGCTGAGTCGACCTAGGGGAGGCCCAGGACCGGTTCAGATAATCGTCACTGGGTGTTGGTGGCCGTGAGCGGGAATCGAACTCGGGTGGCCGGGTTCGTAGCGCAGCGTGGAGCTATATGGGGGATCTTTAGCTTTGGATTTTGTCTTTCTGGTGGTTGTCATTGTGGTTGTGATTGTGGTGGTCGTTGTGGCCGTGGTGGTGGTGATTGTGGTGGTGATTGTGGTGGTCGTTGTGGCCGTGGTGGTGGTAGTGGTGATTGTGGTGGTGGTTGTGATTGTGCTGGTGGTTGTGGTGGTAGTTGTGATTGTGGTTGTGATGATTGTGGTGGTGATTATGGTGGTGGTTGTTATTGTGGTGGTGGTTGATTGTGGTGGTGGTTGTGGCGGTGGTGGTGATTGTTGATTGTGGTGGTGGTTGTGGCCCTGGTGGTGGTAGTGGTGATTGTGGTGGTGGTTGTGGTTGTGCTGGTGGTTGTGGTGGAAGTTGTGATTGTGGTTGTGATCATTGTGGTGGTGATTGTGGTGGTGATTGTGCTGGTGGTTGTGGTGGTAGTTGTGATTGTGGTTGTGATGATTGTGGTGGTGATTATGGTGGTGGTTGTTATTGTGGTGGTGGTTGATTGTGGTGGTGGTTGTGGCGGTGGTGGTGATTGTTGATTGTGGTGGTGGTTGTGGCCCTGGTGGTGGTAGTGGTGATTGTGGTGGTGGTTGTGGTTGTGCTGGTGGTTGTGGTGGAAGTTGTGATTGTGGTTGTGATCATTGTGGTGGTGATTGTGGTGGTGATTGTGGTGGTGATTGTGGTGGTGATTGTGGTGGTGGTTGTCATTGTGGTGGTGGTTGTGGTGGTGATGGTGGTTGTGGTGGTTGTTGTTGTTGTAGAAACAGGGGATCACCTGCACGGCCAGCGTTCCATCCTCATCTGGCAGGATACGGTAGGTGTGCACGTGGTTCTGGAACCTGGCCAGACACACACACACGCGTGTTACTACACACACACCCGCGTGTTACTACACACACGCGTGTTACTACTGCACACACGTGTTACTACACACACCCCTCCAGACACACAGACAGCCCCCCCCCCCCTCCAGACACACACCCCCTCCAGACAGAGACACACACCCCCCCCACACACACACACCCCCACATAGACACCCCCACAGACGCTCAGGCCAAAAGGAATCCCCCCAAGTTCCACCGAACCCCTCCCCCCCCCAACCCCCCCCCCCCCCCCCCCCGTGAGTGACGCACCGCGACCCCCATCAGCTCACAGCAGCAGCAGCAGGAGCAGCAGCCAGCGGCACTCCCTGCTTCCTGTTCCCACGCGCGTCTCCCCCCCTCCCTCTCCCTCCCTCCCCCCTCCCTCCCTCCCTCCCCCCTCCCTCCCCCTCCCTCCCTCCCTCCCCCCCTCCCTCCCCCCTCCCTCCCCCCCTCCCTCCCCCCTCCCTCCCCCCTCCCTCCCTCCCTCCCTCCCCCCTCCCTCCCCCCTCCCTCCCTCCCTCCCTCCCCCTCCCTCCTCCTCCCCCCTCCCTCCCTCCCTCCCTCCCTCCCTCCCCCCTCCCTCCCTCCCCTCCCCTCCCTCCCCCCTCCCTCCCCTCCATCCCCCCTCCCTCCTCCCTCCCCCCCTCCCCCTCCCCCCTCCCTCCGCCCCCTAACCCCCCATTCCCCCGTCTCTCCCCCCCCTCCCATCACCCCCCCCTCCCTCCAGCAGTGGGTAGAACACGGTCACCCGTGACGTGGCCAATTCGTAACGAGAACAGACCCAGTCTGGCTGTCGCCTGATGAAGCTGGTGCTGATTACTGGCGAAACGTCGAACTCGGGTGGTTAATGTCGTGGCTTGGCTCTCCAGCACACAACCAGTGTGCTGTACTAGTACACTACACTATACACTACACTATACACTACATTACTCTACACTACTATGCACTACACTATACACTACTATACACTACACTACTATACACCATACACTACACTACTATACACTACACTACTATACACTACACTACTATACACTACACTATACACTACTATACACTACATTATACACTACACTATACACTACATTATACACTACACTACTATACACCATACACTACACTACTATACACTGCACTACTATACACTACACTATACACTACACTACTATACACTATACTATACACTACACTATACACTACACTATACACTACTATACACTACACTATATAATACACTATACTATACACTACACTATACACTATACTATACACTACATTATACACTACACCATATACTACACCATATACTACACTACTATACTACACTATACACTACACTATACACTACACTATACACTACACTACTATACACTACACTACTATACACTAAACACTAGTGCTGTACTAGTGACGAATTGTCCACGTTCTGTCTACGCGACAACCCTCACTAGTTGGCTGTGCCGGGTGGTGGCGCGTTTTAACGACACATTTATACACTTATGCGATCTAGCCACGTGTTCAACAGGCCACGTGTAGGAGCCTGCCACGTGTTCAACAGACCACGTGTTCAACAGGCCACGTGTTCAACAGGCCACGTGTTCAACAGGCCACGTGTTCAACAGGCCACGTGTTCAACAGGCCACGTGTTCAACAGGCCACGTGTAGCAGCCTGCCACGTGTTCAACAGACCACGTGGTGGAGCCTGCCACGTGTTCAACAGACCACGTGGTGGAGCCTGCCACGTGTTCAACAGACCACGTGGTGAAGCCTGCCACGTGTTCAACAGGCCACGTGGAGCAGCCTGCCACGTGTTCAACAGGCCACGTGGTGGAGCCTGCCACGTGTTCAACAGGCTACGTGGTGCAGCCTGCCACGTGTTCAACAGGCCACGTGGTGCAGCCTGCCTCCGGCTCGCGATGGGCCCAATGGAGACGAGCTTCCGGCGGTGAACTTGAGGAATGACAAACATTCCGACGATGTCACAAGGAGCCACGTGGTGGGGCGGGGGCAGGGGGCAGGTGGTGGTCTCAGGCCACTCACCCAGTGACTCACTCACGCAGACAAGCCACAGACTCACGCAGAGTCACGCAGAGACCCGTAGACTCACGCAGAGACCCATAGACTCACACAGAGACCCCGTAGACTCACACAGAGACCCATAGACTCACGCAGAGACCCATAGACTCACACAGAGACCCGTAGACTCACACAGACACCCATAGACTCACACAGAGACCCGTAGACTCATGCAGAGACCCATAGACTCACACAGTGGAGACCCATCGACTGACACAGAGACCCATAGACTCATACAGAGAACCGTAGACTCGCACAGAGACCCGTAGACTCACACAGACACCCATAAACTCACACAGACACCCATAGACTCGCACAGAGACCCGTAGACTCACGCAGAGACACATAGACGCATACAGAGACCCGTAGACTCACGCAGAGACCCGTAGACTCATACAGAGACCCGTAGACTCACGCAGAGACCCATAGACTCACACAGAGACCCGTAGAATCACACAGAGACCCAAAGTCTCACACAGAGACCCGTAGACTCATACAGAGACCCGTAGACTCACACAGAGACCCATAGTCTCACACAGAGACCCGTAGACTCATACAGAGACCCGTAGACTCACACAGAGACCCATAGACTCACACAGAGACCCGTAGACACATACAGAGACCCGTAGACTCACGCAGAGACCCATAGACTCACACAGAGACCCATAGACTCATACAGAGACCCATAGACTCACACAGAGACCCATAGACTCACACAGAGACCCATAGACTCACACAGAGACCCATAGACTCACACAGAGACCCGTAGACTCACACAGAGAGCCGTAGACTCACACAGAGACCCGTAGACTCATACAGAGACCCGTAGACTCACACAGAGACCCATAGACTCACACAGAGACCCGTAGACTCATACAGAGACCCGTAGACTCACGCAGAGACCCATAGACTCACACAGAGACCCATAGACTCATACAGAGACCCATAGACTCATACAGAGACCCATAGACTCACACAGAGACCCATAGACTCACAGAGACCCATAGACCCACACAGAGACCCATAGACTCACGCAGAGACCCATAGACTCACACAGAGACCCGTAGAATCACACAGAGACCCAAAGTCTCACACAGAGACCCGTAGACTCATACAGAGACCCGTAGACTCACACAGAGACCCATAGTCTCACACAGAGACCCGTAGACTCATACAGAGACCCGTAGACTCACACAGAGACCCATAGACTCACAAAGAGACCCGTAGACTCATACAGAGACCCGTAGACTCACGCAGAGACCCATAGACTCATACAGAGACCCATAGACTCACACAGAGACCCATAGACTCACAGAGACCCATAGACCCACACAGAGACCCATAGACTCACGCAGAGACCCATAGACTCACACAGAGACCCGTAGAATCACACAGAGACCCAAAGTCTCACACAGAGACCCGTAGACTCATACAGAGACCCGTAGACTCACACAGAGACCCATAGTCTCACACAGAGACCCGTAGACTCATACAGAGACCCGTAGACTCACACAGAGACCCATAGACTCACAAAGAGACCCGTAGACTCATACAGAGACCCGTAGACTCACGCAGAGACCCATAGACTCACACAGAGACCCATAGACTCATACAGAGACCCATAGACTCACACAGAGACCCATAGACTCACACAGAGACCCATAGACTCACACAGAGACCCGTAGACTCACACAGAGAGCCGTAGACTCACACAGAGACCCGTAGACTCACACAGAGACCCATAGTCTCACACAGAGACCCGTAGACTCATACAGAGACCCGTAGACTCACACAGAGACCCATAGACTCACACAGAGACCCGTAGACTCATACAGAGACCCGTAGACTCACGCAGAGACCCATAGACTCACACAGAGACCCATAGACTCATACAGAGACCCATAGACTCATACAGAGACCCATAGACTCACACAGAGACCCATAGACTCACACAGAGACCCGTAGACTCACACAGAGACCCGTAGTCTCACACAGAGACCCGTAGACTCATACAGAGACCCATAGACTCATACAGAGACCCGTAGACTCACGCAGAGACCCATAGACTCACACAGAGACCCATAGACTCACACAGAGACCCGTAGACTCACACAGAGAGCCGTAGACTCACACAGAGACCTGTAGACTCGCACAGAGACCCATAGACTTACACAGAGACCCATAGACTCACACAGAGACCCGTAGACTCACACAGAGACCCATAGACTCACGCAGAGACCCATAGACTCACGCAGAGACCCATAGACTCACACAGAGACCCATAGACTCACACAGAGACCCGTAAACTCACACAGAGACACATAGACTCACACAGAGACCCATTGACACACCCAGAGACCCATAGACTCACGCAGAGACCCGTAGACTCACACAGAGACCCTTAGACTCACCCAGAGACCCATAGACTCACGCAGAGACCCATAGACTCACACAGAGACCCGTAGACTCACACAGAGACCCACAGACTCACGCAGAGACCCACAGACTCATACAGAGAGCCGTAAAGTCTTGGCAGAGGTGGGGATACCCACATTCCCCCCCACCACCACCACGTGCGCCCAACCAATCGACACGTTTAGACTGCTGGGCAGACAGCGCTGGTTGGGCTCAGGGAGACGCAGTGTCCACCTCTGGCGCGGGGGCCGGGTTGGAGGTCACGCGAGGGTTGGAGGTCACGCGAGGGTTGGAGGTCACGCGAGGGTTGGGGTCACGTGAGGGTCGGGGTCACGTGAGGGTTGGGGTCACGTGAGGGTCGGGGTCACGTGAGGGTCGGGGGTCACGTGAGGGTTGGGGTCGGTGCGGGGTGAGCGCGACGCGGTCCACTCGACGCTCGTCGCCCGCTCGTGATCCACGCAGCAGCAGCAGCCGTGGGAGTCGTG